ACAATCTTACTGCATACATCCTGTCAACTATCCTTTCCCTCATCATGTTTACTTGGTTCCAAATCGATCTTCGCACTGTTTATAAGATACTGTGGATCTTTCAACTTTCTTTCCAGGCGGTTTTTATGATCCTGGCTACAGTATTATATTTCTGGTCCAAGAGACATGCTACTGCTTGCGATGTTGAAATCGCCAAATGAGTTCAAAATGATGCTCTTTTCCTGTACTCATTGAATTGATATTATCGACCCTAAACTCGATATGAATTATATCATTGTATAATCTCTTATACTCTAGAGTTCGCACGGGTGCTGAGACCAACCTCATTGGAGGTTCTCGGCTGAGATATCACCGTCGGAACCTGAACAGGGTAATGCCTGCGAAGGAAGCGAACTGAAGATGCTATCCAGAGTGGTAAGACTATGTGTTACGTGTCCGACCATGTCTGGAGCATCTGAGCACTTAATCCTTGGGCTACGGTATTCTTGTATACCGAATGTCTTGGTCTCTATGTTGAACATGCTTTCAAGCGCGTTGTCTAGAGATGAGGCATCTCTCCTTAATAGGAGAGTCGCCTGGGTAGTTTGCTCCCCACAACGATAGTGATGACTCGGTCGGGTTGCTGAGGTGTCTCGGTGACTCAAGTGTTAATTAGGATGGGGGAATTTGTGTGGGTGGTGTGGACTTCACCTTTCGACTTGAGAATCATCATACGAGCCGTTGGTTACGGCTCAGGCTGTGTTGAGACACGGCACAGTAATAACGAAGGTCGACTGTGAAGATACTTTCTGTTATGACGATATGCATGTGATTTGTAAACTTAGTGGTTTATAATGGTGAATGACAACAAGTTCATTCAGCGCCTCCCTAGGTGGGAAGCTAGCATCTGTGTTGGCGCTGTATTGATCGCCTTGGCTTTCTCTGAGTATCTCGTCCCAAGAAAAGTCATTTCGCTGAGCACCGGTAAGGCCCCTATGTGCTGCCCGATGAATTGCATATGGCTTTATGGTAGGAGAGTTGGTATACTACAATTACATCGAAGGGTCCATCCCATTGTTCCTCATCCTCATCGCCGTCGAGTTCATAGTATTGTCGTTCCACAGGAGGCGTTTTACGTCCACGAACGAGGCAGATTGGATACCAGAATCGGGGTATGTGTTTGACGCACGGAGGGCCCAATATCCAGATCTCAGTTACTACGAGGCTGCTGATTCCTGGTCTTCCGTAGCAGCTGGGGCAATGGACGTCCTTTTGAGCATCATGATTTATGAGAGGTTCCCTTTCAGAGTTTACGTGTAGGCTATTACCCTAGAGGGAGTGCAATCATTGTGTGTGTCCATCTTTGCCCTCGAATGATGCACAGTATAGCGTACGTCCCTTACAGAACATTTTGTTTGACTTCAGAGAGGTGTGGTATAACGTGTTAGAGTTGATGACGAGGCTTGTGCTTCGCTAAGAATTGTCAAGTGAAATGCGAGGCAGTTCGACAGTGTTGTCTGGATAGACGCTTTATGGAATGGTGGTAGACTTTCGAGTGTCAGATACGACTATCTATACGACA